TCGCATTTTCCCTTTGTGATTGCGTGACACGTTGGTTTCCATGCACTCCGGAATCCTTCAATGTTTCTTGCTGGGTAGGCGGTTAACAGTACTCTACATTTTACACGTCTCAGCTACCTAAGCTAGGTATTAATTAATTCCGTCATATTTGTACTCCTCGTATTTAATTAGCTTATAATATATTATTTAAAAACATTAATTTTCTGTTGTCTTCGAAAAAATACGTGCGGAGAAAGTGGAAACCAATATAATACCCTTCAAGTTCAATTCAACGATTTCTCTCAATGATTTTCATACTTCAAGATCATTCATTTGATCTTAACTTTTTCAAGGCAATCAAAGATGTTTTATATATGATTGCAAATAACTCAAGTGACTCATCAATCATTTAGATTCCGAGACATCTTTCAACTAAAGAACTTGCCCAGATGGTGCCTCAACCAAAATTGCACAGAGCCATCAATGCATTAATGAGAGACGTATCCTAGATCTCTCTTGAAAAATTCTATCAGTTAGTTTTATCTGTATACTCTTACCCTTTGCTAAGTACAAGATATTTTTAACTAAATTGCACTCTTTATAAATTAATTAATAGGCTCTAAATTTATAATGTCATTTTATGTTTGTTCTTATTTAAAGATAAATAGTTGAGTGGTGTATTTATTAGGATTATTTTTTTAAAAAAATTGTTAATTGCGTTTTGAAAAACTAAAGATATTTTATATGTTTGAACATTATTTAATGATAGAAAAAATTTTTTATATTTTTAAATGGATGAAGTATATAAATAAAAAAAATGAGTTGTTATTATGTAATTTGTATACAACTATACATGTACGTATATATGTAGAGAATGAGAACAAGGTGCCATTTTTCTTTCACTTGCACGAAGCTTAGTAGCTCTAATATTAATCAATTAAATTTTTTTGGGATTGAACACAAGTGTAATCCTATTCTAGGCATAATCAGGCATTAAATAATTACCTTTTCTAGTAGGAATTTGTAAGGGATTAGCTCTTTTGTTTAGACCCAACTTTCATTGGTAATACTAATCAATTAAAATTAATTGTTCATCGAAGGACAAGAGCCTAGAGATATTTAAATTCTTTTGAAAAATTATTAATATATCCAAATGAATGTGAAAAAATGATTGATTGCGGAGATTTAGGCTGAGAATGCGGAAACTCTTTAAAAGGATTTTTTTAAAAAAAAAAGGTGCAAAGATCCTCTAGAATCTACATTTACAGCAAAAAATTTGGAGTAAAAATTAATACAAAAACTGAAGTTATATCGATTTTTCCTACACTTTTATTTTTTTAAATATATAAGAACTTTATCATAAATAAACATTTTTGGATAAATTTATATATAAGGGTCTATTTTAAAAATATATTTTTCTTATAATTATTTTTTTTTGGTATATTCTTGTCTTGATTTTTCCCCTCTAAAAAACGAATTTTATATACTATTTTGCAGGTGACATATAAAAATCCGAGGCCTGCTGTTCTAACTAATGTATATAACTATATATATTGTTGGCCGGCAAAAAGATCTCCATCAGATGGATCGTGGAAATCTATAGAATAGTCGTATGCACATATATATAAATTAATTTTTTAAGTAAACAAAAGCAGTTCAAAAATAATACACTGATAAAGAAGTATATACGCAGACACAGTTGATCAAAGTCCAAGAGAAAGAAGAACCTGCGCATGTGAAAAAGCTCTGAAAGAGACGACTAACTAATATCGTAGTCTTATGCGCTATGTTAGGTGTTCCATAAGTAAAAAAATAATTAAATTAATTAACTGCTCTGCTCGAACTCAATTAATAACTGAGGAATAACAGTATTGTAGGGTTTATGTTTCAAAGGCTTGTCATGCAAGTAATTGAACATGGATCATGGGTCAACGGACTCTGTGGGTTTGGTCGTACTAGGTTGCATTTTGGTGCATGCATGCAAAACCAGCATATATAAATTAAATGTCGACATCTCCCTCTTCGTTGTCTTTCTTTGTCTCTTAATGAATTTCTTTCTTCTTCCTTTTGGCAGAAAATAAAACATATGAATCAGAGAGATCTAGGAAAACGTTCAGGGGCATATTATATTGGTTTGGTTTTGACGAAACCATAAGAAATTCGTACGTTGCAGTCATGCTATATTGCGTTTGAGGAAATACGACCATAGTTTCAACTTTCATGTCTAGGTACAAAGAACGGGACCAGGTCACACGACCACAAAGCCGTCTGTGCAGTATTACTTTATTTTCATACTCTATTACTTTGACATTAACAAACCACAAGAAATCACATACGAATTTCATTTACTAGCCCACCTCAGCAGACAGGGTTATTTCGTGGACGTTAATGATGGGTAAGAAGCTTAATTTTATTATATGTTATTACTTTGTTACAATCCTATAATGAGGTATATACTTGACATGATTGTCACAAAAAATATCTCTTGATTTATACATTGCTTCAAGAATATGATGCCATCGAACTCTTGTTAAAGGGATTGCTTGAGTGGTGTATTATTAAACAGCCTTTTTTAAAAAAATATAAAGTTCATAGTATAATAAAAGAGGAAAGAGAAAAACTAAATAAAAAAAATCTAGGGAATCTATGGATTTTTCCGTACTTGTATGTGAGTTGGATTTTTTGGAAATTAGGTCATATGTCTTTAAATTGAAAATAAAAGAGTAATTATGAAAGTATTTATAGATCATCAATTGATAAAATGTTTATATTGACAATAACAATTATGATCTTTTAAATCATCGGTGAATTTTTTATCAACTAAATCAACCTTTTATATTATAAGCCATAAGAGTATAGGTTGAATGGGTCGCTGTTCGTACGTCGGCACGACGCTGCTGGATTTGTGAACTGTACAATTTGGAGCAGCTTGTTTTGCGGTGCTCAATCTTTTTTTTTTTTTTTCAGTGGGTATCATTCTAGATGGGACCCCCCATAAAAAAAAATTCCGTCTTTTCTTAGCTACAATGAATGTATAATCATCAAATAAAAATTGAACATTTTTGCTTCGTTTTTCCTTTTCAGATACAAATGTTTTTTGGTCTGAAATACAAATACGAATGTCTAATAATTTAAATCATTTGCAAATACCGAGAGAGGTTAATTCTAGTGAATAATGAGATTGTAATCACTTAAACACGAAATTTCATGGTGGAGTTTGGATGAATACTAAAATGTTTTTAGAAAGGTTACTTTAAACTGAGCCTCACAAGCTACAATGCTCGAGACCCAATCAAATAATCATAATAAAAAAAATTAAAAGCCATAGGATGCATTTTATTTGATGATTGCTAATTAAGAACTTTTTAATTGTATTAGGGGACTTTTCATTTAGAGGAATTATAGCTTTTTAACTTGCTCTGGAGGATAAATGTGATAACTCAACTATAATTAAGGATGCACAATGGGGTTTTATAGCATATGATAGCATTTTAAATGGATTTTGATATCGTACACGTACATTTGATGAGAGTCATGTGAAAATACATTTATTTCAAAAGTTACGAATTCCCGTGTTCAAATAACATGAAACGAAACTAGTTGTTTGAATTTTCATTGTTGTATTTGTATATATAATTTTCTGAGTATAAAAAATTTGGAAATATATGAAATTTTTTTATTATATAAAATGTAATTATTTTTCTACCAGCATGTACGTGTATAATAAAATCATAGTATAAACATCTTAAATTTATAAATATTTTTCATATTTATAACTAACTGAAATTATAACAAGTTTAATATTGGTCTGTACTGGAAGTGGGAGAGCCCTTTAATTATTTGGCCAAAAAATAGTGAAAGGATAAATACAATCAATTTAGAAATTAATAGAAAATTAATATCAAAGGATATAAATATTAAACAAATAATGAAAAAAGAGACAAAATTGAGGCCGACATGCCTTAACAGTGGTAGCTTTTAGTTGACGGCCCTAAACAGCCCAATTATGGAAGCACTGCTCCGCCTTCCATTGCCAGAAGTTATTGTGCGCGTATTATTCACGCTAAAATTAGTTTTCTCTTATCATTTTTTTTTCACTTTTTTTAATTAAGAAATATTTTTATCATTTTATCAAAAATTTTAATAATAATTAGATTTCTTGAAACTCAAAAAATATGATCACATTTTACGACCAAGTTGTTATTTCCATATTCTGAAAAGATTTATTTATTATTCTCCCAAATAGAATAGTGGGGGAAACAATGGAAGCGAAGGGGAAGAGAGGGGGCACGAGTCCATAGGAAAGAGCCCACGTGGAGAGATTCGTTTGGTTGCGAACACGAACAAAGATCGCCCAATGGGTTCGCCATTCCTCTCTCCTCTCCTCTCAACATGGCTGCCTCCTCTGCCTCTCTAACCAGTCACCCATGGGTCATTTACTCTTCTTCATTTTTATCACTTCTAATTAATTCACTTCTCATCATCATTATTATTATCATTACACATCATTATCATATAAACTATCCCACTTCGAAGCTCCCTAATAAATGAGAGGTTACGGCTTCAATTTCAGTTGTAATTTTAAATAATTAGTTATGTCTTTTATAATTCAAAATAAAATATCATATAAATAAATAAAAAAAATATACCATCAATTTTTTTTTTATTACAAGTGAATGGATCAAAAATTGTATCCAAAGGAAAAAAGAAGAAGAAGTGTATATGGATTTAAAGAAAGAAGCATATATGGGTTTATTTTTATATCTTAATCTCATTTTTAATTAAATTATATATAATTAATTAAAGAATAAATTAAAATCAAAAAAATTGAGAAGATATGATACGAAGGTCGCAACTATGTCGGGGAAGCAAAGCGGAGGAAAAGCCCAAAAACAGTCCGTGAAGTGGTCCCCACAAGGTCGCAAGTGTGGAGCCTCCGCTTCTTTTCGAAACGTGGGACCCTTTCCTGAGCGTTATGGGACCTTCTGCTCGCAACTATAAATCCATGGCTCCACCCTCTGCTTCTCCCCCCCAACTCACTCCCTCACTCAATCAATCTCTCCTTCTTCTTCCTCCAACCTCTCTCACTCTCTCTGCTTTTCTCTTCCCAACGCACATACACACTCATAACACACTCATTCCTCTTCCCTTCCCTTTGGTATTGTAATATTGCCTTGATTTCATTTCAGTTTTTCATCATCTTTTTTCACGATGCTTGTTTTACGAGTTGGGTGCTTGTTTTGCAGAGAGATGACGCAGCAGAATATGGTGATCTCTGATGCCAAGTCCAGACTCAACTTGACCTTCACCGCCGCCGTCTCAAACTCGTTCAATTTCACCACCGCTCCTCACAAGCCCCCCGCCCCTCCCGGAGCCGGCGCCAGCGGCTTCATCTCCATTTCAAGGAACAAGTTCTTGAAGACCCTCGACATCAATGGAGCCGCCAAAGTCAACTCCTGGGTTGACTCCATGCGAGCCTCTTCCCCAACCCACCACTCCAATAATCATCTCACCGCCCCTGCTTTCGACCCAGAAGAAAATTCTTGGATCGTAAGCCTCTCTCTCTCTCTCTCTCTATCTCTATCTCTCAGGTCATCTTATGAATCTAACTGTATATGTTTGATCCAGCAGCTTCGTCACCCATCTGCATTAGATATGTTTGAGCAAATCATCGATGCTTCCAGAGGAAAGCAAATAGTCGTGTTTCTCGACTACGACGGTACGCTCTCGCCCATCATCGAAGACCCTGATCGTGCTTTCATGTCCGATGCGGTTCGTTCTCTCTTACCCACTCTTAATTAATCATTCAATTCAGCTCTCTTGAAATTCTGAATCTTACGTACGTGTTAAAAATAATTAACAGATGAGGAAGACGGTGAGAAACCTTGCGAGGTGCTTTCCGACAGCTATAGTCAGCGGCAGATGCAGAGACAAGGTGCATTTCAAAGTTTCCATTCCGTATCTTTTCATTTCACGTCTTCCATGTTTCAAGATTTATTTAGTTCGCATTGTGCTATGAAACACTACAGGTGTACAACTTTGTCCGTTTGGCAGAGTTGTATTATGCTGGAAGTCATGGGATGGATATCAAAGGCCCGACTAAAATCTCTAAATACAATAGAGTGAGTGTCGTATATATAATTAATGACATTTTTGTTTCTGTTTATCAGAAATAATTGTAGAGTTGACCGATTAACTATGCTCTGCAGGACAGCAAAGCGATCCTGTTTCAGCCTGCCTGTGAATTTTTACCCATGATAAACAAGGTTAGTGGTTTTTATTTATGATATATATCTACTTTTGCTTTACCATGAATAATATGAAGATGAGAAGATTTAATTCTTGGATCAACTCTCAGGTTTATCAACTGTTGCTTGAGAAAACAAGCTCAATTGCAGGAGCTAAGGTGGAGAACAACAAGTTCTGTGTATCTGTTCATTTTCGATGTGTTGAAGAAAAGGTACTATATATAAATATATATCCTTATCCTTCTGTTTTTCCTATTGTAAAATCTCACGTAACTATTCCTATAGTCTTGAGAAAGAAATTGCTCTGAAACAAGTGCTTTGTTTTGTGCACAGAAATGGAGCCAACTGGCAAACCAAGTCAGATCAGTGTTAAAGGAGTACCCCAAGCTTCGCCTCACTCAAGGAAGGAAGGTGGGCCCAGCTGGTTCCGTGTTTTATCATTCCTTTCTTCTATGTTCTCTGAGGGCATTTGATATATAGCAGAATTTAAGGTTATTAAGGAGATCCAAAGAAGGTTAAGTGAGGGATCGATGTCTCACTTTCAATACGATTTGTTTATTACAGGTACTAGAGATTCGTCCCCCGATTAAATGGGACAAAGGAGAGGCCTTGGAATTTTTGTTAGAGTCACTTGGTGAGTCCACGATGTTCAAAGTTTAACAACAACTAATATATAATAAACTGAAAGTAACCATAAATTTCATTTTTCACGTTGAGTTAAAATATGCATTAATATATTTTAATATATTTGAAGAATAGTATTTGTCAAGTAGAAAAAAGCCCAGAAAAGGAGGAAAAAACATAAAGGAAGACAGCTAGACCCTGTGGGGCAAGTTAATTTATTGAAGACTGCAATGAATAGCCATGAGCTTCATTATGCGTGTCAACTTTTTTGTTTTTCTTGTGGGCGTGTGTTACCAGTCAAAATATATAATAAATCCAAATATCTCCCCAGGATTTGCCAACTGTACCGACGTGTTCCCTGTTTACATTGGAGACGATCGATCCGATGAAGATGCATTCAAGGTATCCAATGATATTCCTTCTTTATTTACATCTAATCAATTTTCTTTTATTTTATACTCCACTCCTCTCCAAAAACTTCAAAAGGTTTAATTATAAATTAATTCTCCAATGTCGTACTGTGCAATAATCAGAAACTTAGAGCGAGAGGACAAGGCTATGGCATTCTTGTCTCCAAATTTCCTAAAGATACTAGTGCATCTTTCTCCTTACAAGAACCCGACGAGGTAAGTACAACTGTGACTTGATTTTTTCTCCGTAAATACAGCATGCCAGAATACACACACATGATACTTTATTTTACGAGCATCATACAATTTAGATAGCCTACTCCACCTAATTGTATTCTTACATGTATATGTTGGATTAATTTTAATATTTACATGCAGGTGATGGAATTTCTTCAGCGATTAGTGGAGTGGAAAAGAGTTTGTCTAGGAGCACGTTCGAGGGTGTAAATTAATGAATGACATGTACATCTCTACCCTGCAAAAATGAGCTGAGGGTAGGATATAGGACGCTTTGTAATTTTTTTTAAGCTAAGAGCAACAAGACAAACATGTAAGGATAAAGCAAAAGCCAGAGAAAGACATAAGTGTCTTTCTTAGTTTAGATGTAATCAGCTAGTCAAGTACAGGAATAATAATAAATAAAGATATATATTATGTAGCTTCTGAGATACTTAGTCTATACATCCCAAATCTTGATTCCTTAATTCAAGTTGCTGCTTTACATATAGCTCTCGCAACCTCGTTCATTTGTCACACATGCAATAATTAAACGTATATAAGCAAAAGAAGGCTGAGAAAATATGAGCGTGTGTAAGATATTGAGAAGATAAGATAGTGGAAACCATATATGATTGGGTATTTCGAGATTCAGGGTAACAAGAGGGTCCCTTGCATGATCAACTATATCTCTCTTACAAAGAGGACTTTGGCTTGGAGCTATATATATATATATATATATCATATCAAAGCTGACTCAAAAGTGGCAGTTTTGATCTCTTTTTTGTGCTCAAAGTCATCATTTAACCTTTTAATTATTACTTTGCATATATGAGACTCCTGAGTCCAGATGCATTACCCACCGTCTTAATTGAATTCCCTGTGTTATATATACGCTATATATGTGTGTGTGTGTGTGTCTATGTATGTATGTATGTACATACTAGCCTTTCTCCCATTGTTATAATCCTCGATCCAGTTTTTTTAATAATCCCTTCATGGATACTTAAATCCAAACGCAATATCCATGTACTTTAATATAAGCAGTTTTTTTAATATCTGTGTACTTAATTCCTAATAAGAGAATACCTTTGCTCAATCAATAATTATTGGTGCAATAAACAAAATATTATTTGAATTCTGGTTTTTGGAAACTAGAAACTAAGTTGGTAAGTTTTTTTAATATGAAAAATTTAGTTGAGTTAAATACCCAAAGCTTACCATAAATAGGGCATGTCTCTGAATTCAAAAAGTATTTATAGAAATAGAGACCTTCCCACCAAATAAATTCTCATATATATAGCAGATTTTGAATTAATGATCTTATAAATTATTAGGAGTTAAATCTTTACTAACATTTGTTGGCAATTACAACTAACTAAGTTAGGTTAGTTTATTAGGCAATATACACTCTATTCCAAAAGCTTTTCCATGTTTTGGTAAAGTGATGATCATGCATTGATAATTCTGAGCGGTAGGCATTAATAAACAGAGAACTACGGCACGCTCGTTTAAATTTTTTGTTGGAGAACAGGAACAGAGAAACAAAAGGGTTGGGATGATTCCATTATATACTTTAGTGTCCCACTTTCATATGAAAAAAATCAAAGGCGTGCTATATTTAAGTAGAATTGTGAGTTGGCACCATAACACGACACAACCCGACTCATATAAAATTTTGGCTTCACAAATCATGTGAAATTGACCACATCAAATTAATATAGAGACACGCACACGCACGCAAAAAGCTTTGTGCTCCAAACACCCAGAAAAAAAAAACACACACACACACGCACGCACACACACACACACAAATTCTACATTGTCCCAAACCTCCCAGAATATTCTACTCTGAATCTACGCACTCAACGTTCTATAAATAGGCACGAAATTTATGATAATCTTTCCTCACACTCAACATATTTTAAGTGCGGCCGAATTACTGGCTCTAGTAACTCATGTATACTTATGTCCAATAATGTACCAGGTTGTTGAATGTAGGAGAGAAGTGAGATATGTATGTATGTATGTATGTGCGCGTATATATATATATATATATATATGTATGTATGTACATGTATGTTAATTAAAATAAGTTGATTGTTGGAAATGATTAAAATATTGGGAGGGACGTTAAAAAAAGGTGAAAGTTATATTATGAAGGGGTGGATTAGTGAAAGTGAAACTGAAGGAATTGAGGATGGTTGAAAGAGGAGTTGGAATGCACTTGGGAAGAGATGTTTGATGTGAACTTGTGAAGAATAAAACATTGATATTTCATATTTGGAGTAAAGACACCAACATGGCTCCAACCTTTGACAGCCCCTCTGATCATACATCGATGTTTGTGTCGGGCGTGGAAAGATGGAGTCCACTAGATACATTCACATTATCATTCTTTATTTTTTTTTATTGATTCATCCAATACATTTTAATAATTAATTACCTCAATTCAATTAAACTAACACCTGACATGTTTCAATTATTGGTGGGAATGATTAAAGTTTAACAAATGCCATTCAACTTCTGTTTATTTCTATATTATTTTATTCGCACACATACTTTCTCTATTGTCTTGTTTTGGCCTGTAGTCTTACTTATAAATCACACTATATAAATTTTCTATGCAAGTTTTTTCTTTTATTTATCCATTAAATATTAGTAAAAGAAAATATTATATACATATATACATACATTCTCATCATTTAAAAATATAAGACATTTTTAATTGAATTTTGATCTCAATAAATTAGTTAATTATCTACAAATTAATAATTTTTTTATATTTATCTTTATTTAATTGAGTATTTTACTTAAAAATAAATATAAAATAATTTATTTATTTATTAAGAGTTTTTTTAAAAAAACACATTAATTATATCTTAAAATACTAAAACTGTTTTATATTTTTTAACATCTAACATCTCAAGAAATGCTTTATAATTTTAAATGGATGAAGTAACAGGGACAAAGTGAAAAATGTATTGAATTTTTAGACAGGATTAATAAATTTTAAAGATTTTTTTTAATTTTAATAAAATATATTAAAAGTAACTTATAAATAAGATATAAGAAAAATATACATACATACATATACACACACAATTCACTTTTTTCAGCTAGTGTAACAAAAACAAAAAAGGTTAAAGAGTTCGCATCCATGTTACTGACAAGTAACATTGCTTTTGAAACTTATATACGAGTGTGTTCACTTTAGATCGTTCATATTATATATATAAACTGTTCTTGCACCCACCAACCCCAACCTGGATATGTATAATACTCTGCGGAAAAATTAACGATAACCCTTCTATGGGAACAGCACATTCTTTTTTCTATTTTTTGTTACTTTATAAGTTTATAGTACAACTAGATCCACAGACGGATTTAACATGTATGCATGGTTTATTACTTTATCATGAAACCAGCATGTGACATTCAATAATTTGTAAACTTACACTAAAAATTATTTCTTGGTTTTCCATTAAATTACACACACACATATGTGAGAGAAGCATACATTGGAAAGCAAAGCTGTGTTAGATTGGGTGCTCGAACACACGTGTTTGGTTGTTGGAAAGTGTGTGATGCAGAATTGTTAAATCAAGTGAAAAGAAAAATTACTTGGTTACCGATTGTGTATTTATGTGTTATGGCCGTATAGCAATTAAACAAATTACTGAAATGTGTATTTAATTAAATGGTTAATGGGTTGGTATTATTAATTTATTTATACAATCAGGTTCCTCCTTAGATTCACCTAATTAAATATTTTTCCTGGTGGAAGATGTTTGGTGGATCCAATGGTTAACTGTGCCAAACTCTTTCATTCACGAGCACCCCATACCATATCCCATCATTATCATGAGCCAACCAATAGTATATATGAGTCTCACATCACAAGCGTCATAAGATAAGTAAAATTTATAAGTTTAAGGATCGACCCTCTCATTCGGCATACTAATCTTTTAAAATAAACTCTATATTAAGACTTGTACTCATAACATAATTACATTAACTCATTCTAAATACACACACATTTCATCATTTTTTTATTATAAGACACTTTTAACTGAATTACTCTCTCCAAACTATAATATGAGGTATCTTATAGAAGCCTTACTTGATCCAAAATATAAAATATTGAATAATTTTTATAATTATTTTTTCAACTACACCTCTACTTTAATTATTACTCTTTTTGGAATGATACATTAGAATTTTAATTATAATTATAAAGGCACTTAGGATATTTAATGAGGATAAAATTAAGAAGATGTAAATTTTTTAAGAGATTAAGATTTCAACTAACATTTTTAAAAATTGTGAATTAGTTAGTAATGTCTTATATTTTGGTCAAGAAAGAGTACACCCCCAATGAATTAATCTTTAAATTACATATTTTTTATATATTTATCTTTATTTAATAGAACATCGTCTCAATTAAAAATTTTTATTAATTACACACCTAAGATATCTTTGAAAAAAACTTTACTAATTGTACATTAAAAGATTCAAAATGTTATATATTTTTTAATATAATATTTAAAAAAATGTCTTATAATATTAAATGGAAGAGTTTATAAACACTTTAGACTCACGCATACAAATTTGCGCGCGCGCGTATGTGAACATAGAGTGGCATGTGTTGGGTGATACATAAGATTTTCATCTGTGCAGTGAATTGGAAGGTCGTAAAGCGAATCACGTTAAACTAAGAATTTTGGAAAGAGCGTGCATATGTATAATATCTAGCTAATTTAGCTAAGATAGATTTATAAATATTAATAGCTAAAGAAAAAGAAAAAAAATGTATGGAAGGGTGGGATAAATATGAAAATATACCCCGTAAAGAGAGACACCAATAAAGTTGTGAATAAAAAAGATAAAAAGCATTATAATCAATAGTTTTTGTTCGTTTCTTGTGGCTGTCATGATATAATAATGATGATGACCTCGATCTTTAGAAACTATCGATAGTTAAAGAAAAGAAGGAAGCATGTGGGCAGGTTAAGTGCTTATACACATGAAAAGGTGGGACTCAACTTTGTGGGAAAGAAAGCAATATTTGTTTGATTTGGAGTTTTTCAAATCCCAATTGATATTCTCGTCCTTCAGGTCATATATAATTTCAAAAGAGTTTAATTTTGAATAACTTCTTAAGCCTATTACGCACGCATATTGAAGTATTAATCTTACACCCAAAAACACAAGCATGAACCAATCATTATATACATACATGTGTGTGTGTAATATACATTATTAATGATCTATCTATCTATTTGTTAGATTGACGGTTTGCTTCTGTTACGCTGTGTATACCAACAATTCATTGACATGAAATTATTTAAATAAAATTTTATATGATTTTAGAAAAAACAGCTGTAATAATATCTCTATCATTATACTATAAATTAGAGCCATCGCTCATTAATTATATATAAGGATAAAATTATACCTTAAATAAAACTTATTTTTATAAGACGGGTACGTAGGGTCGATGCGATAGACTTCAATTATTGATCGACTAATTTAATAACAATTGTTGGACCCTAGCTCATCCACTCTCCGACCAGAGTCATTGAACAATTCAGTTACAAAAAGACTTTAATTTCATGTTTGGCAAAAGACAAGGACTTCCTCCGGTACAAGACACAGAAAGGGCCATCTTTTTTTTATTCCATTTACAAGGCATTTCATGGATTTTTTATTACAAGTTTTTTTCATTTACGCTGAATTAATTAATATTGGTGAGAATAAGTATGCACTCCCTCCGTACCATGATACAAAACATTTTTTAAAAGCTTTGCTTGGTTTGAAATACATGATGACATTAGGTTATTTTTATAATTCTTTATCCAATTATACTTTTATTTCATTTATTTTTTTAAATAATACATTAAAATTTCAATTGTTATTATCAAGACACTTATATAAAGTATTGATAAGGGTATAATTGAAAAGATATAAAAATTTGGGAATTAAGATTGAGGTTTTAACTAACCTTTTTAGAACTATGGAATAGTTGTCAATGTTTTATATTATGATCAAGAGGAACAAATATTTATTAAATGGAGATAATTAAAGTTAAAAATTTATTAAATTTTTTTAATAAAGTTGATGAGTTTAAAAATTTTTAATTAATTTTAATAAAACATGTTAGGAGTAACTTATAAATAAGATCGAAGAATTACATTCATTTTAGCAATCAAGAATTAAGAATGAGTATAATTCTTAAAAAGGCATATGATTTGCATTCTGTCATCTACCCCAACATAATCTAATAATTAATATATAATTCACACATGTCAAGACTTGAACAACATGGGAATATAATATATATATATATATATATATATAACAAATGCAACTTGTGATTTGTTCAAGGTAATTATGATCAAACTAACTTAATTAGTGAAGTAGATAAAACCCTTGATCATTATAAATATTAACTCGAGATTTGGAGTATCCTTTGAAGAAAACGAACAAAGCTTCCCAATTCACAGGTCAGAGACAGTCTTTCATACTTACGGTATTGACGGCTTGACAAGTCAACTTCAGTCCCGCTTTTTTTTGTTGCAGTGCCAAAAAGTCAATCAACTTCAGACCCTTTAATTTGACAGTTTAACACCCTAATTAAGTATGATTTCGACAAACAAACAGTTTGATCACGCACACATATTCAAATTATTGATGACTTATCATAATAATAATTAAATTTCAACAGGTCTATTACATTATCCAAACTGGTCGAATGTCGGTCAAAAGAACACTAGCAGTATCTTAATAAATAAATAAATATATATATATATATAACCAAATCATTTTCAAGCAGCTTCTTTCTTGGGGCTATTTTGCCTTTCGAAGCTTTGAAGAGCTATAATTATTTAATAATTAATTCTTTACTTAACAAGTCACCGGCCCTTTGATTTTTGTTCAGGTCCATATGACTTTTGGTCACTATTTATTTTTAAGTAATCAGATTCAGTAAAAATTAATGAAGCAGTGGCTTTCAAAGTGCATTACAAGTGTGCAATCGTTAGTAACTTTATTGAAATAAGCACTGTTAAATTTTGAATTAAGAGATAGCACAAACAAAAAGGAATATGCTTAAGGTTATACCCATTTCTTAATTGCCTATGGTATATTATATGGTATTCCTGTCTTTTATTTTATGTTCTCTAAAATTTTGCCACGTAGACGACATGTCATAATATCACTAATATCTATTTACACACACACACAATATTTACCATTTTTAATTAACTACTCCTTCCAGTCCAAATTGTAAGTAATTTTTAACTATAATCCGCATGCTAATGAAGTTAGTTATACCCATAGTTTTTCTTTTTGACTTTTGGTCCTTAATAACTACTAATGATGAATTAAGTTAGAAAGATATTCCTTTTAGTCCTATTTATAAGTTACTTCTAACATATTTAACCTGAATTAAGAAAATTTTTAAACCTCATTGAATTTGTTTTAAAATTTAACAAGTTTTCACCTTTACCTCTAATAAATATTCTTAAATCTCATTATTAATATTTTTATTCAAACTATTTAATAAGAAAAAAAATATAAAGAGGAGCATTGAAAATTAACAAGTGCCTTCTAAATAGAATTAAATTTTTTTCTCCCCCTATCCTATGAATAAGATTAGAGGAGTAGTATTTATATGATTATGTCAATAATCTCCTGAGGGAGATGTCAAGTGGGAAAGTCAAAATAGTATGAACTGACCAATAGAGTGAGAAGGGGTAATAAATTCTGATCTCATGATATATATCCAATAAACTAAGTTAATAAATGTAAAGGGTAAAATGAAAAAAATAATTTCTGAAAATACTAAGTATCTTATATTTTGGATCAATGTTAGTTGAAAAAAAGTCTTGCAATTTGGGCTGCAGAGATTACCTCTCCATAGGTATGGAATGAGTAAAAATGCCTTGTATATGAAATAGCTTGAGTATTTTTATGCCCATGCCATGAGATAATTAATCAGACTTCCACTAAGATAAAAATCTTATGATAATGAAGGTTAATCTAATTAAGAAGAAGACGATTCACACTCCACAAGATACATGGTTCCATTCGTCACTAATTTAATTAACTCATTAATAAATAATTTAGTGGAACATTGGTAACTTGTAAATGCTCTTTTAATTTATAGTTTAGAGGTCAGTTTTTTCATCTGTTTGAAATTCTATGTGCAATAAATTGACACGTGACCTTGAACTAAAGCAAGTGTTGGGCTGCAAATGAAGTCCATGGGTTGGTACTTGGGCCGATGAAAAACAACTGTGTGGCCTAATGCCATTATTTAATTGTCCTCTTTTCTTAGCTCTGGTTCTTCAATTTCTTTTCCAATGATGTTTTTTCTTTTTTGGCGCAAACGTTTCCAATAATGTATTAGTAACTTAATTTAACCATTCACGATTTCGGCCTGGTTAATTTAATCATTCATCATGGGCCATTGGAATGTGTTATTCGCTTGTTCTGAACAAAATATCTCGTTCTTAGCATAACTTTTTTAAGCATTTTGTTTTCAAGAGAAAAACTAAAAAGCTGGTAAGTTTTTTACCTACATCAATTATTTATTTTTCCTATATGAGTTGTTCATGAATATAATTTCATTTGTTTATATTATAGTGGGTGTTATTAATGAGAGTTGCAAGTTTCAACCATGTCAGTTGTTCATTTTTCATACATTACTTATTCATTTTTCATACATCAATTGTTTATTTGATCTTAGATAATGAAGTTATTTTGAGTCAGCTCTTAATTTCCATTCAGTCCTCCAAATGAAATTTCTGAATTTTAAGGGCTTTGACTGAAATTAAGCTTTGGGTCTGCTAAATTTTTCCCTTAAACAAATTGGGTTTCTAATTGATCATGGCATATTTGTTATCACAAGCTAAAACCATAAACAAATGTTTTTTTTTTTTCACTCCTTTGTCCAACCAACTATGTGGGATCGTTATTATTAAAGATGGCCTTGGGAATGGAGGCAAAATTTAACAATAAGGGGACTGTTAAGATTAAAAAATATATATACTATAAAGTTTTTATAAATTTTGGCACTCCCTCTAATCCTATTTATAAGTCATGCTTGATATGTTTCACTAAAACCAAGAAAAATTTTAAACTTCATTAACTCTATCTTAAATTTAATAGGTTTTAACCTTGATCCCTAATAAGGACAAAAATAATTATTTTTAAGAATTTTTTTAGTATTTAATAAGCACATAAAAGTAATGATGAATATAAAAAATAGTGAAGTATTAATTCTATATATAGGATCAAAAGTAATCTTTTCTCTCTATCCTATAAACATGAACAGAGGAGTATACTCCCAATAACATTTTACAATTCGGGAGTCATGTCCGCTGTTGCTGGTTCACCGCCTTTGGATGGCCTCTGATACCGATCTTGGAAAATTTCTTTGCCATTTTTATTTTAAAAAAACTGCATATCTTGAGATTCAAATATGAGACTTTAGGATAAGTCAATTTGATTCCTTTGACAGTTCAAAACATCTGTTTCTTGGTAACAAAACCCTAGTTTATCAAGCCAAAGAAACAAAGGAAAAATGAAAAACTCGTTGTTCCTATTAACCCCCATTCACACTAGAGAGGAATTCAATTTGATTTGCTCCTATATATCCCAAACTATTACTAATGTAAAAATCTAAGTAATAAAGAAATTACAAAGCATAGAATAATATGGAATCGACCAATCCAAAAGAATAGCAGAAAAGCGAAAAGAAAACTATAATTAAGAAGCAAGTATTAATTTGGCTAAACCCCGCACGATCATATCGCCCTCCTTAATTAATCATCTTCAATTCATGCATGCATGTGCCCAGTTAATTAATTCACATTAATTAATTGCATTCTTGTGAAAGCACACGAGCGTCGTCCCTCAACGAGCTCATCTTGATCTTGCAATTTACTGTAGGATTCATCCTATAAATCTTTATCCCCCCAATCCTTCCCTTCACCTCAAGTTTCATCTCCAACTCAAAAGAAATTGCCACGTGACTCTTGCTTGTCGTATTCATACTCCTTCTCATATCTGCATTTAAAGGCCTATCTTTTGATCCCGATAGCTCAATCTTCACTGGAGACGAATCACCCGGCTCCTGATCCAACCCTGGAAACTTACCGGTCGCCACCGCGATGCTGTTGTAATACATGGAAACACCCCCATCCTTGGCGTAACTTAGCCCAGATCTGCCATTAGGGTTCTCGGCCCTCATCGAAACTAAATAATGAGGAACCCAATATGCATTCTTCTTCGACGTCGTCGTGGTAGTGGTCGTGGGAGGCTTCTTGACCTCAAATTTGGTGACAAAAAACTGAGGAAGCTTGGGCTTGAAGATGAAATACAAGGCGGTTATGATGAGTGCAATGACGATGAGAATGGCTAGAGAGATAAAGAACCAGGAGGAGCGATAGCAGGTATTAGGGTTCTTCTTGTTAGTAGGTTTACGATGTTGGGCGGCGATGACGGTATTTTTCGGCGGAGGAACGCGATAGACCTGGTCCTTGGGGACTTGGACGACGTAAGTGTGGTGGTCGGCGCGGCCGGGAGAGAGGGGTAACTGTGTAACTGCATGGTGTTCGTCTATGGAGGGTGGCTGGAGCCGCCCTTCCATGGGCAAACAGAGAAGCTAAGAAGGGGTTAATAGCGAAAAGGCTGAAGCAGTATCTTCTTCTTTAACATGAACGATGTTTTGTATACGAGAGGCTTCAAAGGATAGGAGAGAGAAAGTGAGTGAAGGAGAGAGAAAAGGTGATTATAGCATTGAAAACCCTATAATGACCATTATATTTTTGTGTTTCTTCCGACTTTTCTTAACCACCAAATTCTTCTATTTTTGGTTTTCTTCGCTTTCTTCTTACCTGTATTTGGCCTCCCTATTTTCATAACAACTTTTCTTTATTCTCTCTTCTCCTATTTGGCATGCTCTTCCTTCATAAATTTACATTTTAGACTGCAGTTGAACCCTATGTAGTTAAGGCACTACTTATATGCGATCTAATTAAGCTCGATCGAATGATTATTAAATACATTTAAGTTATAATGGCTGTTACGGTGCAACCAATCATTATTGGGTCCCAAGAGGCTGATGTGGCAGAACAAGACAAAGTAGCAACTAGCACTAAGCAATATGCTGTGATTCCCTCTAAAGTATTCTCTCCTCCTCCCGATGTTTTTCTTCACCTCTACCTGTAGCTTCTTCTATAGATTTGGCTAGTATATTATTCTGTTAATTTATGTTAATTTTGTTATGGTTTACTGTATTGTTGAACTTGAGAACCTTAATGCTCTATAGTTGAGAATAGACAAAAATTATAAAGTAGATTTAAGGCAATTGAGCGTGTTTTCTCTTGCTGACACTATTTTCCTTGAAATAGAACTGTTATTATTGTAGGAGTACCATTCTAAAGCCAAGAAATAACCTAGCTTGCCAATTACTTATCTCACACACACTATATAGTCAATTCAATTTTTACTAGTTCTATATATACATCAAATATTGCTTAATTCTTGACCAACTCTGACCGATTCTTAGACAAACCAATAAATCTTGGATTGTTTTATGCTGTTTGATCATGGTTTATACTGTTTGACCAACTACATCTGATTTGGTTTATAGTACTGTTCTAATTATTAAAATTTTTGTCCATAAAGCCCATTTGAGTATTGATTCATAAGTAAACATTTTCAAAACATGTCATTAAATTGTCTATTTAATAGTGACCCTTTTCTTTAGTCAGCTCACTTGACATTAAATTATTTTATATATTGTATTGTTGGATTTTTGGCAATATGAATATAATATATATAGAGAGAGGGGGGATAAATTTTGATTTTTTACATTGTATCTGAATTTCTTTCTTTGTTGGTAAATTAGTAAATTGTTCAAAATTCAGGTCGATGATATCCTTCTCAATTCAAAATTTGTTATCATTGGATATACACTACTAAAACCGACTTCTCAAAATATATTTATACCATATTTCCTAACAAATGATTGAAAAATAGATTTATGACTTAATATTTAAACATTGTTCATGTATTTATTTATTTTTACAGTATTTTTTGCTTTTTCAGGATGCAGAAGTCGCCATTTGAGATAGAGCAAATAAGAGTAGACGTGATATTACAACTATCAACAAATCAAATGTAGACATTCAAAAGCATTATTCTAAGAGAAAAACAAAACCAACAATTAATGTCAGCAGCTATGCACATTAATTTTCGCCCTCAAATTAACAAAGAGCCTAGTTTTTTTGTCTCCAAAACATAAACATGTTCAAGCCGGCAACATTTGACCTCTCTAATATCATCCTATGTCTTTCTCTTCAAGCCCTTAATACAAGCCCAAAACCAACAGATATATATACCCTCATTAATCACACTCGAGTTTGTCTAATCCTCTAACTATATATATATATATATATATCAGTCAGCTGCACTTCACAACAACAACTCTTCACCTCGTTGTTTCTTGAGCTGTTTTTGAACTTCCATCAAAGCCTTCCTTACTTCCTCATCTTCTGGTGTTTCTCTCAACAATATCTCGTAGTCTTGAACTGAAGCCTCCCATCTTTCCAACTATACCATTTCATCACCACAAACATATATATATAAATATAACACTAACTAATGAAAAACCAGAACAGCAAAAAAAGTTCTATATATGTACATTGGGATTAGATAAGAAGCTTAATTATGAGGGTATATATGTATGTCACCTTAGTATTACAATCGGCTCTTCTCAATCTAGCCTTACTGTATGAAGGCCTGAGGTTGAGAGCTGAAGTACAATCCTCCAAGGCTCTCTCAAATTGGCCTAATTTGGACAAACAAGCGGCTCGGTTGCACAACAAAACTGAGTTACAAGGTTCATGCTCGAGCCCCTCTCCATAAGCCGTTAATGCCTCTGAGAATCTGCATGCTCTGAAAAGCTCATTTCCATGTGATCTTGCTTCTGCTACCGCTCGAGCTCTTCTCATCACCATGCCTGCTTCCTTGTTATTCGAGTCCAGCTTCACTGCTCGTCGAGCCACCTCCAAAGCATCATCAAATCTGGTTCACATACATATATACTAACCTTAATTTCTTATGTTTTATGAACGAGATTTTGCTTTACAAGGATTAGAATACACTACCTTCCAGCAGCCATGTCAACCTGAGCCCGTGTCACCAACAAATTAGCAAAACCAATAGGTCCAAAGAACTTGCCCAACTCCTCATCCGTAAAATTAGGACCATTTGAGATTACTTCAACTGCATCTTGATGCTTATGAAGCTTTAAAAGGGCTTCAGCTTGCAAAGAAAATATCTTCCATTGAGGACAAAAACAAGGTCATATCAGCATTATGATTGACGAGTTACACAAACTGAGTTATGAAATGGATATTCACTTACTTGAGGAGCAGAATTTGCACCACATGATATAGCACAGTTGGTCTCCTTTCTTACAGTATTCCAATCTCGTAACCTACGAGCCTCAGTGCACTTGTTAAGATGAACTTGAAGATTCCTTACCTTAGCAATCTCATCAGGATCTGTATCTGGTCCCGCATGTTTAAAATGATACTGGGCTTTGTCTGTTTCTCCTAACCTATACATAACAATGTCATAAATGTTATAAACAATGCAATAGCAAACAAATAAAGCTTTTCAAAAAGAACATGAAAGTTCAGCAAGGAGCCTATATACATACCTAAGGTACAAGCTTCCCAATCGATGATGAGCTCTGTGGTAATGGGGTTCAATTCGAATGGCTTCTCTACACTCAAACACGGCCTCGATAAGCCTACCAAGAGCCGTTAATGCTGCACTTCTATTGCTCCTATATGAAGCCTTGTTCGAATCAATGGCGATAGCTGCATCGTACAAAGCCAAAGCCTCTGTGAATCTCCCATTCTTGTAATCCTCATTTCCCATTATCTTCAGCTGTTCTGGATCCATTCTAGTAGATATAGCTCTGCACAGAGAAACCCCTTCTTCTTTGGTGTTCTCTTTGGTCTTATTCGCTGCGTTATTTTCTGTGACATGCTTCATCGTGTATCTTCCATTACCATTTGCTGTAAAGATTTCATCTTTAGGCTTAGGAAGTTGATCCATTACATTGTAAGAATTTGTATTATTCCCTCCACCTCCTCCTTGTCGCAAGTTTCCTAAATCACCAAATAGCATCACGTTGCTTGAAGAAGCTCGAACAAGCATGCTACTTCCCTTGGACTTCTGGTGATCAGTGATATAACTCTCAAGCTCGCCTGAAATTCCCATGGCTTCTTTCAGAACCTTTCTGCCTTGGCGCGTATGATGACCCTGCGTTGTCACCGGCGTCACTTTTGATGTCTCGTTGATATGATGATGATGATGCTTCCTTTGTTGGTTTTGAATTACAACCCGTATCGGTGGGTTGGTGGCGACTAAATCGGCATCGTCGGAGGGGCCTCGCCGCCGCTTTGAATTCAACAAGTCTGACAATGAAGATTTGCCATTTTGGTTGACATGATTAACGTTGGACGTAGGAGAAGGAGGGGAGGAGATTGATCGGCGTTGCCACAGATTGCGTCGGCCAAACACGGCACTAAACAATCCACAACCAGATTTCCTGTCCGGCGAAGTATCTGCCATTGATTAAAAGATGATTAAGGAGATGACGATGAAGGAAGCCTTTAATCATAATAATTTAAGAAGAAGAAGAATGGCCTAGAAGATCTGAAATGAAAAGAGAGAGAGAGTGAGAAATGGGATTTGGAAGAGGACTACCCCCAGGAGAATGCATGAGTGATCTCCTAGAGTGCCTTCCAGAGAACAAAATCTGTGTGTTTTGTGTCTCTTAGAGGAATCAAAGAGGTCAAACTACTGAATGGCATTGTTCGGAAGAGGAGAATTTGCTGGAAAAATCTTTACTGATATCAAGCTATCCTATTTTATTCAACACCATAATCTCATAATTGGTTCTCAATTTTCCTCTCTCTCTTTTTCTTTATTTTTATTTTTATTTTTGAGAAAAAAAATAAATCTTTTGTGTTTTGATAAATAGTGGAAACCAAGAGACTCGGTCTCGGGTTGAATAAAGATCTCTAGAATTTTAGGAAAGACAGCCAAGACGGAAAGAACACTATCTTTAATCCTTGCACGTTTAGCCACTAGCTGTTGTCCAACAAATTTGGTTATTTTTTGTTTTCATTAATTCAAGCATATTCATAATAGGTGAACAACCTATTTTTCTTATTATTTGGCGAAGAGATTGTTCTTTTTGTGAATAAGACAGTATGTGAAATATTAACACTCCATTTGATCCATAATATCGGATATTGCTAAATAATTTATGATTCTAAAAAAGTTACACTATAAAAAAATAGCTGATTAGTGATGAAAAATTAGTGAAAATTTCGTCGCTAAATGGATTAGCGATGAAATATTTTTGTCGGTAAAAACACTGTCACTAATTCATTAGTGACAGAATTTACAATTACATCACTAATTTCTAACAGAATAGCAATGAAAATTTTCCATCAGTAAATAAGGATAAAGTTATTCTGACATTGTGATGGAATGCATTCTGTCATTAATTTTTCAACGGGCTTATTCCGTCGCAAATTTATTAGGTGGACCAAAATATCATTGCCACATCACTCAGTAGATCAATGCCACCTCATCACTACCTAGTCACCCAGTAGATCAGTGCCACCTCACTACTATGTCACCACCTTGTCCTACTCTCCCAGCGGACCAATGCCACGTCATTTGTTACTGCCATTTCATTTATTATTACCTTCAATTATGCCTTGGCTAGGTTCGTTCGAACTTACAACCTCATACTCCCATGTGCCTTTACGTCCACCTTATTGTCAGTTGAGTTGAAAGGAATCTTCAGTCTTAATTGATAAATTGAATATATAATACTCAACCACACACACATATATTAATAAATATATGATTTAAATTATTATTAAATATAGTATTTAAATTTACTTATTTTTTAACATTATATTTATTTATTAAGATGGAAAAATTAATTTATATATAATAATTATTTTTAATATATTTTATTTAAAAAAATTATTTTTTATATTAAATTAAAAAATATTTTATTATCATTATATATTATATTATAATTTGTATCTATATAATATATAATATTTTAATTTTAATTTTATAATTATTTTATTTTATTTTTTTAAAATAAGAATAATTAAGTATACAATTTAAATTATTATTATTAATATACAAATAATTTAAAATAATAAATTATTTTAAATTATAATTTTTAAATTATTTATTTATAGCATAATAATAAATTATTAAATAAATTATATATAAATATATATTATAAATAATAAAATTAAATTAAAAATAATCAGTGATGGAATTATGACAGAGAGCTTTATGATAGAATTTTCTATCATAGATTTCATCACTAAATCAGAATAAGATATTCTAACCATTAACGATAGAATTTTTCATCAGTAAATTTCATCGATAAATTATTTTTAATAGATTAGCGATGGAATAATGATAAAATTTTAGCGACAGAAACTTTCATCACTAATTTAGTGATAGAATTAGTGACAAATTAGCAACAGAAATTTATTCTGTTGCTAATCTGCTGGTTTTTGTAGTGTTAGTTGAAACTTGAAACCTTAATATTTTAAAATATTATTTTTTTAATTATATTCTTATTAAATACTCTATATAAGCATCTTAAAATTGATTAATTGAAGTTGCTAGGCTATTTTTCAAAAGAAATAATAAATGAAGCAGAAATATAGTTGGAAAAAAATAAGAACTATACAATATTCTATATTTTAAATCAAACATGGCTTTTAAAAAATGTCATATATTATGAATGTAAAGATGTGTTTTTTTCTTATATTGTCTTCTTTTAATGTCAACTTATATTGTCCAAATTTGACTTTTTAGCTTCTCGAATGACAAGTTTAATTAATAAGCTTCCTGAGTATGATAATTGATAGGTTTAATAAGTTCAAAAATAAAATTTTTGTTCATTATCATCTAGAGTTAATAAGTTTTAAATTTCCTTTTAAACTGTTGTAAAAACTATTGAAAGTAAGTTATAAAATGAATGAAAAGAAGTGTAAACCAAGGAAGTAAGGAAAATTACTAGTTAAAGAAAAACAAGAAGGCAGCAAAATTGGGCAAAATTTCAATCAAAGATCACGATAGAGATTTAAAATTTTAGTTCAGTCTAAGAAAGAAAAGTTAAAAGAATTTTAATAATAATAAAGATTAAAATACTCTTCACTTATTATGCAAAATCATTAGTTATTAATTTTCTTACCTCACTTAATAATTTATCAATATGAGTTACAAATCATATGAGTTGACATGTCAAATATTATATAAGATTTAATATCAATTGTTTAATTATAAGCAGCAACATTAGCTATTAAATTGTTAACTTTACTTATTAATTTACTAACATCAATTATAAATTACTAACAAGTCTTATAACTTATAATTAATGTTAGTAAATTAATAAGTTAGAAAATCAATAGCTAATATCACTAATTGTCTGACAAACGGATGTAATTTACAAATGATATTGGTAAATTAATAAGTGCATTAAAAAATTAACCAATAATAATTATGCGTAACAAGTGACAAGTATTTCAGTTTTTTAACCGTCAAAATTCTTTTAACTTTTTTTCCTCTTGATTGAACTAAAATTTCAAAAAAAAAAAATTAAACCCACCTATAATTAAGTCGCTTGCCATGATCCTGGACTAAAATTCTCCCGCGAAATTAACTAATGGTTAGGTTAGTGAGGGAAGGCATGGTTGTCTGGTAGTTAAGTAAACAAGAATGTATAGTTTGGTAAGTGAAAAAGAAGTCACCAATGGCCTTACATAGTCAATACAAATGGGACGCCACGTGTTCAATCCTGCTTGTGATTTTAGGCCGTTTGTGTATACCTTTGATTTTGAGAGAGAGAGAGAGAGAGGAGGCTAAAATATAGTTTCTCAAAATTCCAATAAACCATAAAGAAATTTATTATAATGTCAAGGAGGCGTAAATTGATTTTGTTAAAGCCTACATTCTTGGATTTGAACGTCTTCTCTTGTAGGTATTGCAGATTTGAAGCTCTTTCTTCTCCCAGATCTCTTATTTTTGTCAGTGTTTCTGTATTATTATTTTTTAAGAAAAATAATAGATTATAAAACAGAAAAAAGATTAAAGTATATACGTAATTCGAGGTGACAAACTAAAAATGAAAAAAAAAATTCATAAGTTACAACTTGGACGTGTCAATTAAAATGTTGAAAATTAGCAAGTAAAGAAGCAATGTGACATGCAAAAACATTGTTGTTGGAGTTCATAGACAGTTAGTTCAGTGTAAGGAGCTTTGTGAGTCTAAAAGTGTGAAATTCAGACCACCAAAAGTTTAAAATTAAAAAATATAACTTTTTTTACTATTGCATTTTGAAAACTAACTTTCCAGTAAATAGGCAAATGGCCTTATAACCTAATGATATGTACGCTTTTTTGCAAGTGAAAGGCTGTGGATTGGATCTCACTTATAACTTCATGTTGTTAGTGCCTTCCTTTCCAATTCCAAAAACAAAAAAGACAGACCAAAATAAGTCGGCCTGCCAATTATGGGCTCCCTCAGTATTCGAGCCTACCTTGGCCCACATAACAAAGCTTATTTGCAATTTGACTAATGGGCTTATTTTATGGGCTACCTTGGCCCATGAACAACTCCGCACCACAACTATGGCTTTTGGTTTCAGTTTTGGCACCATTTAGTTTGCCATTGAATCCATATATCTATATATAATGCAAGGTCTATAAAAATGTATATCATTTGCAAATTATCAATAATAGGAAAAATTGGAGAAAAAGGATCTATTAAACAAATTAATTGAAGAAAAGGTACAGAATCGTGGAAGATATAATGCAGATTTTGTGAGAAAAATTGCAGATTTTGTATTATCCAATTAATTTGCTTATTTGATCCTTTTTCACAATTTCTCCTAGATAATATAGTTCAGCTCATAAAATGTTGTTGGCTGTATTTTTTGAGTACACTACACACTATTCAACCCAACCTACGTAGTACGGATGACGGCTTCTATATGGTATATATGAACAAACATTGTGAGCGTAGGGACCATCACGTACGCTTTGATGCCCAGTTTCATGGCTCCTACGTACTCCTCTTCTATTGCCCTACTGATTCCACCGCTTATTTAGTTTTATATTAAGCAAATTGTTAATTTTAAAAGGGAAAAAAAAATCTAACTTCGCTAACAATGAGGAGATTTTTCTTTCCTTGGGTTTACTTTGTTTTTAAAGGATTCTAAAATTGTTAGGTTAGTTTGGTAGAATGGAAGCTATCAAAAACTCAAAAAAAAAAAAAAAAAAGAAAGTGAATTTGGAGGGAGATTAGATTTCAACTTTAAAATGATGGTGGTCATTATCATATCATTATCTTCCCATCAAATCCATCCATCATTCCATCATCTCATCATCAAATCATGATATAATAGCTATCGCCTCTTCACCATCATCGTTAAGGAATTAATCTCTCCTGTCCTCTCTGTGCGTGTGTCTCGATGCCACCCAGAGAGCAGAGAAATTTATATACAAATAAATTGAAATTACTTTGTTATCATTTTTTGTGACAAAATTCATTGCTCTGCTGATTCTTTCAAAACTTAAGGCCTGCTCTAGAGGCTAATCTTATTCTAATTTTTTCAAGACATAATTAATACTCTAAACATTCAATTGATACATTTTTGCTCTACATGTTTCAAAATTTTGATTATCTTAATTAATGGATGAAATGCAGTTCT